TGCTGGCCTTAGGGCTCAGTATCACATGACATCCAACGGAAGTCCACGCGGTGTCACATGATCACGCAGTTATATTCAGACGATCTAATTGGCTAAGAGTATATTTTTTGCCCATACTTTGAAGCATAATATCTCGACATCTACTGATCGGGTTTATGCGAAATTAGGCTTGTTGAATAGATCAGAACCTAATGAATCCAGTAGTTTAATCCCCATCAAAATTAAACTGGTAGATGTCGAGATATTTGCGTTCCAAGATCGTTAAGGCAGATCAGACTTTTATGGCTGATTATCATTATAAGAAAATATACTGCGCCAACTGTTGTCTCTTTTTTAACACCATTTCAGTATAATAAAAGGCAACCAAATAGGAATAAAAGGTAAGTACATCAATATGTAATCTAGCATTCAGTCAGATGCAGAAGGCCAGTATCCTTAACATGGAACCAGACATTTAAACAAGAATGGAAAGCCGATACCAACAATATAGAATTTAACATGTAAACGAATCAGGAACAAGAAGAATGTAGTAACTATTAGATCATGACATCACCATTAATTTAAAGCAAGACCATCCACCGTTAGATTATGAAATTACCACCGCAATATACAGGAAATGATTAAAATAATGTAATAAACACAAAGAAGCTACCCATAAGTAGATTATGAAGTTACCATCAGATTATAAATGATAGGTTATGAAGTTACTACCAGAGTATGAATTTAGACTATGAAATCACCATCACATTATGAAGATACTAGCAGGTTATGAAGTTACCATTATGTCATGAAGTTACTCATATGCCATAAAGTTACCAATAGACTATGAAATTACTAACAGATTATAAAGTTACCTTCATATCCTAACACAAGTCACATGTGACTTCCTTTGATGCATTATCTTTTACTAAAATTTCTAATATTTTAACTTTTGCAATTGCATAAGTTACTACTACTAGACCTTACTTCCTTTGTTTAATAATTCACTCATAAAACTTTTTTAGCTTCAGGATAAAAAGCATTTTGACTAGAACTAATTCGCCTACTATTTTGGTTTATTACATTTACCCAACCGGAACTTACCTTCACCCAATGTCTAACCATAGTGGCGTTAAATCCAAAATGGCGTGCTGTTTTATTCCTTTCAAGTTGCTTAGTATAATCAGCAACTTCTTTTTTTGTTTAATAGAATAAAATTTACGATTATATTTTATAGTTTGGTTCAGTTAGTTTTTTACGGTTAACTTTTGTGGCTAGTGAATTTTTTCTTGACATTGTTTTGTGTAATATGTAACAGGTTTAAAACAGGTTCACATAAAGTTCGCATTATTAAAGTCATATTATTTAAAGTACATTTCACAAATTTGATAAACTAGACAATCATTTCGATCAATTTAGATCAATTTATAATGCGGCTTTGGAGAGATAATTTATTTAAAAAAAATCACCTGAAATTATAGCAAAAAAAAGGTGCTTATTTTTAGGAGTATATGGTATATAATCTTTTACAGCCAATGTATGAAGCAACCAACCTTCTTTCATCATCATCGAATCCATCCCAAGGAGATATTAGATTAGCATTTATAGGAATGTTTGCTAAATTAAATCAATATAGAAGGGGATCTCATTTACAAAAACAAATAGCTTTAGTAATATATGAAAAATTATTAAAATATTGGAAAAAACACTTGGATCAATCATCTATTATATCATTTTTATTGGATTTGTGATATAAATGTTTAGCATTTGAAGATAATAAAGTTTAAGATGTTATTAAGAAATGTTTTTATCATATATGTATAACAAATACCTAAAACCAAAACAACCTTGAGAGATTACTTTTAAATATACTTAATAATAATAACAACATATATAATTCTAATTATTCGAATGAAGAATTAAACCGATATTTTCATTTTTCATGTGATAGTCATACGGATCCTTTAATATGGTGGAAACTTCATTATCTGATACTATCTTATATGGCTAAGGTTATTTATCCATTTAAGCAACATTAGTTGCATCTGAATGAATCTTTTCTATTTCAGGTTTAGCAATAATCAAACCAGAAATAGGTTAAATCCAGAAACAGCAAGAGCGACTATTTGTTGGGTTTTTAATGATTTAGGAAAGACGTGTGAATTTATTCTCAATTCTTAGGGTAATCAATAAATTCGGCTTTTGATACTTTTTTTTTTGTAATTCTATTAAGATCGATCGGGTTATAAGATCAGTCTAAAAGATTGGTTTAAAATCAGTTTATAAGATCGTCATTGAAAATGATCCTCGGTCAATTTCACCCCAGATCGATAAAGATCAGATCGAGATCGGATGGATCAAATCCTAGTTTCATAGAATTTCACAGAATAGGATTATATAATTTTCAAAATTTTGGTCTGATTTAGGATTTGCAATATCGTAATGCTGGTTGACATTAAGTTTGGCTAGAATTTGCGAACAGTAATGTTGGCTAACCTTGTATAATTCTGGCCAAATTACAGAATTTCACAGAGTTAACTTTTTGTCACTGACGCGTCCATTAATTTCTATAAATATCCTATATCTTCTATTACACGTAAAATAATGTATATATATAGGCGCTTTTTTTACATGTTCACAGCATCACATAATCATGGATCAGTATAAGAAAAAGTATAAGTTTGTTTCTAATCATTACTAATCATTACATTAATGTGATATTTTTTCTCATAAATAATCTCATATTTCTCTTTGTCTTTTCGCTACGTTCCGTCTCTTTTTTGTAAAATTCCTTGCAATGATAAAGATACGTAAACTTTCAATGTAAAATTGTCTTTGGTACTAGAAGTGATAGTAACGCTTCCCTTATGCTTTTATGGAAACGTGGGAGTGATGCTTTCCATTGTGAAGGATGTCTATGAAAAGTAATAGTGATACTTCTTTCATGTAAATATGGAAGTGATGCTTCCCTGTGTGGAGGATATCTATTCAAATTCTTAATATTTTTTGATTTATTTGTTGAGGTCTACTGATTCTGGATGAGGAATCGGTTAAGTACCTCCCTCAAAACAGCTTTTGTAGTATGAGGATTTGACCAGATCCAATTTATGTTATACCACCTCTTGTTTGCATACTTTAACCCCTTTTTTACCAGTGTATAACGAACGAGCTTGCTGTAAAATTTCTAGCAACCATATAAAGTTTGACGGAAAAGAATTAAAAGGTGTAAGTTACTTAAGTGTAGACAAATGGTTACGAAGTGAAATCATATTTTTGCTTATGTCATAAAGAGAATTCAAAGCTCGTATGTGTATTAAAATATTATAAATTGAATTTGTTTAAACCTTAGCTAAAATTGAAATTTAAATGTTAGGACTGGTTTCATGCATTTCAATAAGAATTATGATACTCAAGTTTTTCGTAATTCAACTTCCTATTCCAGGTGGCACTTACGATGGTAAGAATTAGCTTAATTAAAAAAAATATTTTCTTTATTAAAATTATTCTCATTATTTAGAATGATATAAAGGAAATCAAAGAATTAACTATGCAGTTTGTGAAAAGGCGTACATATAATTAGAAACATTATTATTTTTACAGTAATTACTTTGATAATAAAAAAAAACTTTTATTTTTAGGGATGCCTTTAAAGTTATCCTAGCCGTGCCAGGACTTCAAAAAAGAAAATTAAAAATTCGAATTAAAAATATGAATGATACGTGTACAGTAAAAATTGAAGGTGAAGTCCCAAAATTGAAGCCGAGAAATTAATATCAAATGATTTGTTAGAAGGAACTTTTTTAGTTGAAATTTTATTACTTTCAAAGTAATTATTACTACTTTTTATTATTGTTGTTATTAAATATTAATTAATATGATTTTTATTTTATTTTTCAAACAGGATCGATAAAAATGAAAGAATACGAGTTTCCATTGATAATGGATATACTACAATAATTTTTAAAAAAATAACCAATGACAATTTCATTGATTTAACTGAAAATATTGATTAGCTATATAATCCTACTTTTTTTTATCTTCGGAGTATTGACAAGCGAAACGGTTTGCTTATTACAATTTTTAAATTTATTTAGTATCGCAACATAAAAAAAATGAAAATATGCAATAATGATGCTGTTACTTCCATATTAACCTACATATTTATAGCTGTGTAATGCGTAAAAACTACTTACTACCCATCGTGATAAGTAAGTTTTATTCTTTTTGTATCACATAAGTAATATGTTTAGTTTAAAATATGTATTACGTAATTTTATTCAATCGAAAGTTATTGTTTCCAGAAAAGGAAATTATATTTGGTATAAATAGGCGGAAAATTCGTTGCATTATAATTAACCGATTGTTCCTTATACCATGAGCTATCATCGTCGCAAGAAAGATTCCCCAAGAGGAACTAGTGGCAATTCCTCAAAAAACAGAGATCAAATAGTTCGTAACCCATTAGATATAGAGAGGGAAAATGTTCGCATTTTATCCGAAAATTTCAATTCATCCGAATTATCGTATAAAGGAAGCGACAAAATTGTATTCATCCCTCATGAAGATAATATGGATACAAATTGGAGACGTTATTTGAAAAAAGAACTCACTAATCAACATCATATTCGCAGATTCCTAAATACATGTTTGGTTACCGCCTCTAAAGAAACTGAATACAAAGTAGAAGAATTAATTACAAATCTGGGAGGACCTGAAGGTAGACAACGTTTAAGAGAGATTATCATGTTTCCCATATCTGTTGATGCCGGATTACAACCTCGTGTTGCTTCTTTTCAACGTGTTACTCTGCCTTTCCTTGCGTTGTTAACTCGGTCCGGAATAATTGATAGTATTTTGGAAGTCCATATTAATGCGGTCTTCTCTATCGTTTATACTAATTTGGTGCGTTGCATTATCAACTACTGTATTCTTAATTCGTTAAATACATATTAATATAAATATTTCTCTTTAAAAGGATAATTTCATGCATGATAGGGTAATGCCTATGTTAGAAACTATAGTCCTGAGAAATTCGTTAGCTGATAAAAACACTTCTCAAACGGAATTACTTAGAGACGATCCTAGTTCTTTTATACCTACATCGTATGTTATATTTACTGATTGACCTCGCCAATATAAAAGTTATTAACGTATTTTTAATCAATTTTAATAGAATTGGCCAATTTTTCTTGGTGATTGTAAGGTTATGTAATTTTATGCTTACCCGAATAAAAGAAGCTGCTAGCAATGAGACAATGCACAACATTGCACGTCGACTAGAGAATTCAAAAAATGCTTGGCAAAATTCACATCAGACTGACCCCAATGACCCGATTAATTCCAATATTGAAAGTAAAAATTACTATTTCCATATTTTAGATAAAGAATTCAAAATTATGAAGCAACTAATAAAAAATTCTCAGAGATCTTATCCAAACGAACTCAATTCAGTGGATAATGCCTCAAGGTCCTATAAAGAAAGGGCACAAATTGTCGATTTAAAGCGTATTTACGATCCTCCTGGCGAATTATCTGATCATGGACCACGTCATGATAACGATTTCAGTGATATTACAAAAATTTCCATAATTCCTACCAAGGAAGAAATTTTGAGCGTTAGACCACCTTTTTTACCTACGAATATTCCTGGAGCCCCACATTTCCTTCCCGAAGGACCTGCACGCCTTCTTGATTCACAGTTTCGTCTACTCCGTGAGGACATGTTAAGTCCTATTAGGGGAGGAATTACAAATTTCTTGCAATTTTTGGTGGACTCTAATAATTCTAAATTAAGAAAATACAAAGAAGTGGGTGGTAGATACAGATACGATAGTGGTCAAGATAACGGAGATTTATATATTTATCCCAATGTTCGTTTTGCTGGAATTACAGTCGATAAAAGACGTGGCTTTTCATGTCGAATCGCTTTTACAGGACCAAAAAATGTCGGAAGAACCAAGAGAGATCGTATTTTTTATTGGCAAAGATCAAAGAAATTAATGAATGGAAATTTAGTTTGTCTTCTTTGGCCGACAGAAAACACAGCTTTGGTGAATAATAAAAATAATATCCCTAATGCTACACAATATTCTCTTTTTTTTGGTGTAATTGTGCAAAGAGATGAACAACTTTTAGCCAAATTTGATGATAGAGTTGAAATCGAAATTAATTTCTCGGATGCGACTGTTTATCCATTGGCCTTAAATGACATATCAAGTCAAAAAAATCGAAATATGGTTACAACTTCACGTTTTATGGTAGAATCCACAGGAGTTTATATGGAATCTTACTACCATATTTTGAAAACTTTGCAAAGCACAATGAATTCAACTCTTCCTTTTGAAAGGTATTTGGCTCCGACAAATGAAATGGCCGAAAGTTCTATTGTAGATTTACCTGACTACGCAAGAGCCCCGGGATTTCATTTTAATCTAGGTGCATTATTACGTGATAAGCAAAAAGACCTTTTTTTGAATGTTTCTAACACAAATGAACATGAAAATATAATTGAAATTCTTAAAAAGGAAAGCATGATAGATTCAAAAGGAAACAAGTTAGATGACACACAAGGTATTTAAATTAGTTCTCATTCCAATGCGTTCTTTTATTATTTATTAATTTTCTTTTACCTTTCTAGCTAGATCGCTTGTTTCTTCTTTATGTAAAGAAATTGCGTTGATTGAAGGTAATTTTAATAATTCAAAGTTCTGTTTCATGCAGATGAATATTGTACCATACATGAATTAACTTTTTTGATTAGGTCCACCGGGCACAGGGAAAACTGTGATAGGGGTGGAAATCATGAAGGTTTTGCTGGCGCCAACAAATCGCAATATAAAGCTTGGGCCCATTCTTACAATTTGTTTTACAAACCATGCTTTAGATCAATTTCTCGAGGTAAAAAAATAAATGATCGCTAACTAGGGATTTTAATTATATTAATTATATTAATCTTTCTTTCCCTTTTAAAAAAAGTATTTAATTGATAAAGCCGGAATTGATAATATTGTGAGATTAGGAGGTCGCTCGAGATCTGATAAAATTGCTCCTTTTAATCTCGAAGAAATCGTTAGAAATCGAGAAAGACCTGTGGGAATCGAAGCATATCTTTTAGCTCAGGCTTACAAATCGCTTGATGCTATTCAAAAAGATGCGGATAACATTCAAAAAAGATTGAATCAAAGATGGTTAACTTGGAATGAAATTTCTCCTTATTTATCATTTGAATTTGCTGAACACTATAATAGATTTTCCTATTATCATGATGATCCCGAAGCACCTAAGTTGTTGTTAGACAACGATAACGATATGAATATTGATGATGAGTCTTCATGGCAAACCGCTGGCAATGATTCAAGAAATAAAACCATATTCGAACAGTGGTTAGAAGGAAGGGACATAAAACGAGCCAAATCCATGATCCATGCCATGAAAAACCCAAGGCAACAACGACAACTTAAAGGAAAAGAGAAACAGAGTTCAAATTTAAATAGCTATGGTATTCTCGATAATATCGATGAATTTTATTACGAATTTGATGATGAAGATGAATATGTTGAACCAATTTATGATTCAATGCAAAGCTTTCTATTGAATTGGTCTGAACCTACAACAAATCGTCCTTTGGAGGAGCTAAAAGACGATACGAATATTTGGGAAATGTCCGAAACCGAACGAATAACATTGCATGACTTTTGGCGACAAGAATTAAATTTGGAATGCGTTGAAGATTTAGCACGGTTACAAAAAACTCATGATGAAAAGAGAAAAGAAGTTGACAATATTCATAATGAAAGGCGAAAAAAAATTTTAAAGGAATGTGATGTTATCGGAATGACTACAAATGGAACTGCAAAATTTCAATCTCTTATTCGTTCTATTGGACCTAAAATTATTTTATGTGAAGAGGCCGGAGAAGTTCTTGAAGCTCATATTCTTTCAGCGCTAACACCATCGACACAACATCTTATCCTCATTGGCGGTATATATACTTTTATTTTATATTTTCTAAAATCTATATTTTGAATAAAAAATTTTTTTTAAATAGATCATAAGCAATTACGACCACATGTTGCTACCTATAATTTAAGTTGTGAATCAAGCAATGGTAAAAAATATAGGTTAGATGAAAGTCTATTTGAGCGTTTAGTTAAAGATAACAAATCTACACGACTTGAGCAATCTCAATTATTAACTCAAAGACGTATGAGAAGCGAAATTTCTGACTTAATTAGATTCACACTATATCCGAAACTTATCGATGGAGAAAACACCATTTATCCAAACGTGCGCGGTGCTCAGCATAATTTATATTTTATTAATCATCGTCAACCTGAAGATAAAACAAAAAGTGAATTTGCAGTTCAATCACATTCTAATCAATATGAAGTAGACATGATTATTGAAATGGTGAAATATTTTGTTAGAAATGGATACACTAAAGAAGATGATATTGCTGTCCTTACCCCATATCTTGGACAAATGATGAAACTTCGTGACGCTTTAAAATCAACATTTACTGTTGTTATTGATGAAAGAGATAGTCAAGATCTTGCAGAAATGGAAGATGATGATGATGAAGAAAAGCCAGAAAGTAATGTTGAAGGAAATATCAGCATCGCGACAAGGAAGTCATTAAATCAACAAGTATACAAAATAATAAATTTATTAATTTCAATTTCAAACATTTTATAAGAATATTGTTTTAAAATATTATATATTTTTATTAGGTTACACTGAGAACCGTTGATAATTTTCAAGGCGAGGAAGCCAATATTGTTATCATTTCACTTGTGAGAAACTCTTTAAATGATTCAAATAGAGGTCCAATTGGTTTTTTGAAGTCTGAAAATCGTACTAATGTTTTACTATCACGAGCGAAACATGGAATGTATTTGCTCGGTAATGCTGAGTTAATGGGCAACGAATCTCATATGTGGTCATCAGTTGTTCAAATGTTAAAATCCAGTGATCCTCCAAAAGTTGGTGGTTCTTTTCCTATCGTCTGTCCTCAACATCCAAGGAATCGAAATTACGTGAGTGTTCCCATACAATTTGTTGAATTTGCACCAGATGGAGGATGTTTAGAGAGGTATGAAGTTAAGAGATTTTTTTTTGTTACGAGTAATTATTTTTATCTGGACACATTTATTTAATTTATCATTTTCTAAATTAAAAGTTGTGGGCAAAAACTTGAATGTGGACACTTGTGTATGTATTTGACACATAATAATTGCAATAATTTCCAACTTATTATTTTACTAATAATGATGTATTTAAATCCAAAAATATTATTTAGGTCCATACAAATGTCACTTTGATAACCCAGACCATATTAATATATTTTGCAGAAAAGAATGTATTAAATTACATCCAGAATGTTTACATCCTTGTAACAAATTTTGCGGTGAAAAATGTGGTTTGTACAAGTTCTTCTAATTTATATATTCAATTCGATTACAAGTTAGGTTTCAAAAGAATATTTATTGATTCATTATTTCTCTAGGTGATTGTTCTTTGGTCCTTGGTGATATAATATTGCCTTCTTGTGATCATTTGTATCCAAGAGCTATGTGTTATGAAACTCGCAATGTTTATTCAATACTTTGTCGCATAAAAGTCTATAAAACTTTACCAAAATGTGGACATAAGCTTGAAGTAATGGTATGTACATTTTAAAAAATTTATTAGTAATTATTGAGTCTGTCAGAACTGTTAACAACCTCATTTCTGTGATAATAAGTGTTGTGAGTCGGTAGACGATATTGTTTGTATGCAACCATGTGGAGAGTTAACAAAGTGTGATCATATGTAAGACATTTTTCAAGATATTTTAAAAAATCTCCTTAACAAAAAAAAAGTTTTTTAACAAAACCATCATTAATAAACTAGTTGTTCGGCGCCATGTCATGATTGCCAGAAGCGTTCAATTAAAGCAAACAATGATGAACCACCTTTAGATGTGAATGGATTTATAATAAGGAATACACACAGATCTTGTGCAAAGCCTTGCGAAAGAAACTTATTTTGCGGCCACAAATGTGAAGAAGTCTGCCATGAGGGAAGGATATGTAGTCCTTGTAAAGCAAAGTGTACAGTTTCTTGTTCTCACTCTTCATGTAAATTGGAGTGTTTTAAACCTTGTGCTGCTTGTGCTGAACCATGTGATTGGTATTGTCCACATGGAAAAGGAAGATGTCTTTTATCTTGTGGTATGTATTTCTTACCATCTTTTGTTAAATTATATTCTTAACTTAAATATCCATCTGTTATCAGGTGCTCCGTGTTCAAGATTACCATGTAATTTAAGATGTGAAAAAAAATTGAAGTGTGGACACCGTTGTCCAGGAATATGTGGTGAAAATTGTCCACCACCGAAGTTTTGTGAAATTTGTGCTCCGAATGATGTTAAAGAACAAAGTTTGTGTATTAAAATTGTTCATAATTCAATTTGCTTCATAAAACTTATCATTCTTTTTAATTATATAGTGATTGACTTTATTGAACTTCAGACATTTGCCGAAATTGATTGGAGTGAAGAAAGAATGGTGATCTTGGAGTGTGGTCACGTATTTACGATGAATACTATGGATGGCCATATGGAAATGATGAATTATTATGAGGGAAGTGATGAAAGATGGACCGGTTTTAAGATTCTTTCATCGCAAAGTGGAGAAAATAAAATGATGACGTGTCCTAACTGCCGAGGTGGATATTTCAATTCAATTAAACTTTTTTATGAATATTTATTCTTCATATAATTCATATTCTTTATTTTTTATTAATTTCATTTAAAATTAGCGCCCATTAAAAACATTAAAAGATATGGAAGATCGATTAAAAAACGAATCCTTGATACTCAGAACAAAAAATTTTTAATGTTGTATGATCACCGTTTAAAATTTCAAAGAAGTGCGTTGGAAGCTGCTATAAGGATTATGGAAAATAACAAACAGAATATGTTGGAAAAATTTAAAAGCAATCGATCCTATTCGACAGACCTAAGAGGTAATATTAAGAAGAACGATATTGAGGGTCCAGATAAAATTGTCCCCGAAGTTTCCATTAAAGAACAATTTTATCAAATTGGAAAGTATCATTCGATTCCAGAACAACATACAAAGCTATGGCAAAATCATATTAAAGAACTCTTTAAATCATATAATCAATTGACAATGATTATGGCACATACAAAAAACCCACCTCATAAAAAGGCTTTTGATGCAGCTTTGACGCGTCTGTAAGTATTATAAGTTTATCGTATCTTAAAACATTATTATGCGTCCATTTTTGTTTAACATTTTTTTATTTTTTACCAATTTCAGTTACAATGAAAAATCAAAGGTTCCAATCGATGTGTTTAATTTAGAAAATATTAGCATCGTAGATGACGCAGTACGCTTTGAGCAAAGTCTTCGAGAAGTGGGGTTGATTACACCACAATTAGACCGCCGTGTTTACCTCGACGCTTTCTTTGAAATCGTTAACGTTCAAAAAATTATGTTTCACGAAGCAGTTCGAATAATTTCAGAATTACCGAATACGGATTTACCTCATTCTGAGGAAAGACAAGGTTATATTTCAGTATTAGCAACACGAAAAAATTGGATCGAATTTTGTGGCAGGATAATGGATTCAATTACGAACCATTTGGAAAAAATTCTTCAAACATGTGAAGAAAGTAAATATGGACGGCATCTAGTACAAGCTTCATTAGAATTGGTAGAATTTGAATACCAAGTCGGTAGATTTAATTTAAACAATCAAATTAACCCTCATGTTTCTATGTCCGAACCAATTAAAAGGGCAATTATAGAGAAATGTAATAAAATCCGCAAAGATTGTAATAAAATACGACGGGATTATTTGCCAAGTATTAATTTGGAATTTTTTCAAGGACAATGCGAAGCGAGGATTGTTAAGTTATTGAATGATGTAAATGAATTACAAGAGAAAGCAGAAAATTATGGACAATTAACTCAAGAAGAAAAGGTGGCAATCTACAGAGCCATGAGTAGCGAATTTAGTGGGTCAGGTAAATTAACACCTAGGACCTTTAATTATTTGATCGCTTTTTCTTAAAAAGATTCATCAATTTTTAGGACACTGGTACGAATGTCCAAATGGTCATCCGTATACCATTGGTGAATGTGGAGGAGCAATGCAAGCTAGCAGGTATATCGTATTTTTTTTTTATTAATTTATTTATTTATTTATTATTTATCGATTTAAAAAAATTAGGTGTCCAGATTGTGGAGCAACTGTTGGTGGAAGTAGTCATAGTCTAACTAGTGGAAACAGACGTAATGTCGAATTTGACACAATGGGCGGTAGAACACTAAGATGATAATTTATAACGAGTTTATATATATAGTCTTTTTGTAAACTTAAGTTGAATATTGTATTAGATTGTGTTCGGATCAAATAAATAAATATAACTTAAACTTTTTGCGAATTTTGAACAAAATTATGTTATTCACAAACTATTATTGAAAATATTGAATCACAAATATGCTTTTAATTAATTATAACTTTTAATTTTATTTTATTTTAATTAATTCTATAAAAAGTCTCGATATTTTGATTAATCAATTAATTATTTGGAGAAAGTTTCTAAAAAGTAATTTCATAAATAAGAACATTTGATTCGGAGCTGTTGCACTCAGTGTTCTCAGTGTTGCATATTTACAAGTAATTAATTATAAGGGTTGGATCTAGCGTCACGCGAAAAAATCCGCAAAGACGTTTCACAAACAAAAAATTATGATATTATTCAAATAATGTACAAATAAAAAAGAATATATTAATTAAATTACGCGACGATCATAAAAATTAAAGATGTGGCTATAACAGCTAAACTTATCATAACACCCCATAAACCATGGCTATTAAAATTTTGTATAATGTTTGAATCCGAAACGATACTATTTGGATCCTCAACCGCAGCTGCAGTGGCAGCGACCTTTTTCACCACAATTACGGTAGATGGAGGGATGTATGTTGCGTAAGTTGTGATTTGTCCTTTATCATTTTTTGTTGTGATTGTTGTTGTATAACCGGCAAAATATAATGTAACTGTTGTTGTGGTCGTTGTCCAGCGAGTTGTTTTATGTTTATCTTTATGATCATCGTCCTTATGACCTTTATCATCTTTATTATTATCATATGGTTCTGGAGTTGGAGTCATAGTTTCAACTTCTTCTTGTACAGCTGTTTCGATTTTTGGAGTACTACGATTGCAAAATTGCGTAAATTAATTTTTAAAATGATTGATGTTAATCATAATAAATATATACTTACACTCCTGGTGGAGGTTTGCACCCAGGATCATCAGGAGAACCACAAGTTGCAGTTGGTTCAATTGTTTTAGTATCAATCTTCTTTTTATTTTCATCGGGTTGCCCATCACCATTGTTTGGCGGTTGTCCATTTCCATTATTTGGTGGTTTTCCATCCCCGTTATTTGGCGGTTGTCCATTTCCATTATTTGGTGGTTTTCCATCCCCATTATTTGGCGGTTGTCCATCACCGTTGTTTGGTGGTTGACCATTTCCATTATTTGGCGGTTGTCCATCTCCATTATTTGGCGGTTGTCCATCTCCATCATTTGGTGGTTGTCCATTTCCATTGTTTGGTGGTTGTCCATCACCGTTGTTTGGTGGTTGACCATTTCCATTATTTGGTGGTTGTCCATCACCGTTGTTTGGTGGTTGACCATTTCCATTGTTTGGTGGTTGACCATTTCCATTATTTGGCGGTTGTCCATCACCGTTGTTTGGTGGTTGACCATTTCCATTATTTGGCGGTTGTCCATCACCGTTGTTTGGTGGTTGACCATTTCCATTATT